GGCTGCTGGAGATGACTACATTGGCCTTACTGACTGATACACTTCAGATCTGTGCTTTCAAGGACATTTAGAGTCTGCCTCATCACTGCTTAGCAGTCCTTTTTCTTTTTCCTAGACAGTTTCCTCCTCTTCCCTTATAGTGGTTACTTACATCTTTACCACTTATGTCCAGATTGCTCACCCATTCCTGCCCACCTCCATTTCAACAAGTTATTTAGCCTCCTCCGAAAATAAAGAGCATCAGTAAAGAGCTCTTTTCCAACTCCTTTTCCTCCAACCTTAGAGCAGCTACCTTTCTTACTTCCTCAATTCCCTACCCAGCTCAAGTGTTATCTCCTCTGTGAAGCCTTTCAATATTCATCCAGACAGAATTGGTTATTGCATGTACTCTAACAGCACTTTTTTCCTACCTATGGGACAGAACTAACCACCATGTCTTACTTACCTCTGTATCACCACCAACCAGTACAGAATCTGGTATGCTATAGGCATCCAGTTGACATCCGGTTGCCCAAGCCAGAAACCTGGAATTCATCCTAGGGTCCTCATTCTCCCTTGTCCTCCAGATCTAATCACTCACAAAGTCCTATAAATTTTCTACTTAAAGATAAATAAGACATGTTAGCGGAGGACTGTCAGAGTGTAGTAGATATCACTACCAATTCTGTCTAGGGAGGGCTTGGAGCTCTTAAATCCAGCCTCTTCTGTTTCTAAGAATAAAACCCAAATTCACTCTTTACATTATTTAATTTAATGTTTCCTCTTTCAAAAAAATCCTTGTCCTGTTATACTTTAAAAAATTAGTACATTAATTAAATTGATTTGGATCAAGAGACTAAAATATCACTTTTAATTATTCAATTGCTAGTGATATTAACCTCCATTTATTAAATACTTATTTAATGTCAGGAAGTGTCAGTTATTTAATTCACATAAGTCTCCCCTGAAATATCTCTGTTGAATAGATGAGAAAACTGATGCTGAGAGAGATAACATAGTTTGCCCAAGATCACCCAGGTAGTAAGTGGCAGAGTCAGGACCCAAGCCCAGAGCTGCACATCACACTCAGCGCTCTAAGGAATTTCATAAGTTTCCAAAGCACCTGCTTCTACTTCTTTTGCAATTTCTTTTGTGTTTGTTTCTCTCATTTTGAGTACCATCATTCAAAGGAAAGCTCAGGAAAGGTAAATAAATGTCAAAGTACAAATTATTTTATTTGACATTTTAATAAATGATTAGGGAAAAGAAGGTATTGAAATGAATGCTTATGGTATCCTGAATACTTCCAGCACAGAGCAGATGTCTTCACTTCATTATGAGTGTTTGCCAGCATTGGCATCAATTCCAGCCTTTAGAACTGAACAGTCATTCAGCATTCCACCATGTATTTTTTGCTTGCCTTCTATGTGCCAGGCAGCGTACTAAGCACCAAAGATACAAAAGTAGACAAAACATTACAGTTAAGATTGGGTTTTACCAAAATAATGTCTAACATGCCCAGGAAGTATAAATGTTTAAGATAAAGTCCGAATTTAGGGAAGGAGATCAAGTATATGGATTCACTATTCACTATACTAAAGAACAAGGTGTAACATATAAAATAATTCCTCAGATAGTCTTAAGCACTGAGAAAGCCCATTTGTAAAGGTGACCTGATTCTGTCCAGCCCACTTGCACAACCATTTTAGGAAGGGCACTCTATTGTGCTAAACTCCATGCTGCATGCTGGGGGCTTGATATCTGTCTTCAGCCCAAGTACTTGCAGGATTGTCAGACGAAAGAGGTGAGCATCTGTTCTCCACTTCCACTGGGGCAGTGATCAGAGGGAACGAGCTGAGAACATCATTGGACACCGAGGTATTTATAATAGATTTTCCTGTCAGTCGGGGTAACTATAATGCTTTCCTAGAAGAGGGCATAGAGATTTTCTTCTCTGTACATTCTTCAAAATTAAAAATTTAAATTACAGTTCATCTCACAGGGGCAGTTTGTGTTTGCTCTTGAGTTAATGAGCTTGGAATAAGTAGTCTCTCAAATTTCCTTCCAAATACTTTCTTCCCTTTTTAAGTGGATATGTGAGTTAGAATTTCTGGCTCTTAGTTGCTTGCTTTACTTAGAACTTTCCCTCAGTTATGTTTAGTCAACGAATGTGTGAAAATCCTGTCATTTTATGAAGAGGCTTCTGTTTGGAATACAAATGTGAAAACTTTAAAGAAGACAAGTGGCCATGTGTAAAAATACCTGCTTCTATTCACATAGTGCAGGGTAGTTACTATTTGGTAGATTTCTATTTGTTGGTAGCATCAGTAACATATAATGCTGATATAATTTTAGGCAGAAACTAACAACCCCATCTGGAGCCCATATCCAAATGGGACTTGACTCTTCTAGTTCATTTCCACAAACATTAATAGAGTTCATTGTATTGTTCTATGGGCCAAAAAACGTAGGGGGAAAATGAGAGCCGAGTCTTGAGTTGGTTGATAAAAATTTGGAGTAAAATATTTAATATTAAGTTAAATATGATCTATAATATAATATCAATATAACATAATATTAAGTATAAAACTAAAATATAACATCACATTTGATAGATAGACTGAGAGTTTTAAGTCTGGGTTGTAGACTGGCCTTGCTACCTCGTTGGGCCAAGTCACTCATGGCCTTCTTGGGTTCCATGAACTATAAATTACCTGCCCTCCTTATACTATAGAACAATTGTTAAGTTGTAAATATATGCAGAAGTCTTTGAAAACTGCAAAACATTATAAAACACAAATGATGAGATTAAATTAATAATTGGTATCGTGATAAATTAATGAACAGTGATACGAACAAATACTAGGACTCAACCCTGAAGTATCTTTGTTCCACTCCTCAGAATGTGTTATCAATTGGCATATCTTGTAAACGTGCTTCGGTCACCCACAGTGGCCTCCAGTGGCCGTATGCTAGAAATCCAGACTGTGAAAAAAATAAATCTTATTTACAATGAGATTTCATACTTTGGAAGCAATATGGTGGTTCCTCAAAAAATTAAACATAAAATTACCGTATGATCCAGCAATTCTACTTCTGTGTATATAGTCAAAAAAAATGAAAGCAGGTACTCAAACAGATATTTTTACACCAGTGTCCGTAGCTGCAATATTCACAACAACCAAAAGGTAGAAACAGCCCAAACATCCATGGAATGATGAATTAATAAACAAAATGTGACCTATACATACAATGGAATACTATTCAGCCTTACAAAGGAAGGAAATTCTGACACATGCTACAACATGGATGAACCTTGAAGACATCCAAAGTGTAGTAAGTCAGACACGAAAGGACAAATGTAAAATTTCACTTATATGAAGCACCTAAAATAGTAAAATTCATAGAGACAGAAGGTAAAATGGTGGTTGCCAGGGAATGAAAGAAGAGGAATGGGGACTTATTGTTTAATGGATACAGAGTTTCAGTTTGGAAAGATGAAAAATTCTGCAGATGGATGGTGGTGATGGTCGCACAACAATGTGAATGTGATTAATGCCACTGAACTGCACACTTAAAAAGAGTCAAAATGGTCAATTTTAGGCTTTATGTATTTTACACAATTAAAACAGAAATTTCGCATTTCCTTCTTTGAAAACAAGAGTTTTTGGCTGTTGGATTTTTCTAATAAGTGAAAAATAGAGAATTTTGAGAACGCTTAGGCTTATCAGCCACAAAGTTGAATTTCAGTACCTCCGATTCTGACAAAGTTTACCTGTTTTTATCATTCAAAGAACTGTTTTTTGAACTTTTTCAGTGAGAACAGCAAGCACATGTTTTGTACTGAACGGTCTTTCAGAAGTGTGACATCCAAATTTGGATTCTTCTATTTATATCAGAAAGCAATGTGGGGAACTTCTGTATCTTAAAATGAATATTGCATTGTTTTTGATATGATATGTTTTTGATGTAAAGTATTTTTTTAAATTCTGGTCTGTGAAAATTGGCAAGCTTTGTATATTTATAGTAACTTTATGTCAGAGACTCTTACCAAGCTAAATAATAGAAACTCATTGCATCCTGACCTATCACCTTTCTTCTAAAGAGTCCACTTAGCTTTCACATTTTCCATCTCATGTTATTAGTATAATCTTATGACAGGCAGTTTTACAAATGGAGAAGATATATAATTTTGTACTGTTAATACACTGACTATGACGAAAGTAGGATTAATTCATATACCAATTAAAGAAGATAAACTTTTCTTTGTCAGTACCGTTCTAGGTACTGGGCTGGGCTACAACATGATATGAGTTCTGCTTGTCAAGGAACTTTGGCGGGCTGGGGAGGCAGACTGAGATGCAGTCTACTAAGTGCTCCAGTGCGGTGGGCACCGTGGGAGCAGGGAGAGAGGCCAAGGAACTAGTCTGATGGCCAATGAAAGAGTCCTTAGGGAGCTGAGGCTTTAAGCTAGACATGAAAGATAAGTAGGAGTTACAGGTCCAAGAAAAAGTGGAGGCAAAATCAAATATCCAAGAACTGCTAGCCCATTGTTCTTTCCACGGAACCTCCTATTGCTAGGGAAAAATAAAATTTCAAAACATAGTTTTACAATATTCATGTACTAAATATGTCAGTCACCACCTGGTCAATCCTTTTCATTTTACAGATGAAGACTCTAAAGCCTTGGGAATTAAGGAATGCAGTATTGTTGCCCCATTTCAGTGACGTTAGCTGGCCTGTGTCTGCTTTCTCCTTTCACCAGCCTGAAGGATGTTTATGAAACTAGACTTCTGTCTCATGTGCCGGCATCATCCCCGAGGGTTGCTCTGAGCTTCACACCACCCCCATGTTTCTGTACCTTTCACAGTTTCACAACCAAAGACGAGCTGGGGAAGGCAGCGCCTCAGCTCCTGACTCCTGGGCTAATGGGAGAGTCTTCAGAATCCTTCAGTGCCTCAGAGGACGAAGGCCAAAGGGAATACCAGGCCAATGACTCTGACTCTGATGGGCCTGTCTTGTACACCGATGACGAGGACGAGGACGAAGACGAGGACGGCAGTGGAGAAAGTAAGGCTCTTTTCAAGAGGTAGGGAGGGAAGTCTGTGGTGGACAGAAGCAGCTGCAGCCTGTAAAGAGCAAAAGCCTCATTAGGAGCCCGACACCTGATGTTTTTCTTTCCCCTCATGTGCCTTTCTCAGATTAGAAATGTATATCTTCTGAGGTTTAGCTTTAGATGAGGGTCCTTTCTGGAAGATGATTCCACAGGGCAGGGTGGTGGGGGAATCAGTCGATGAGGCCAGTATGCATATTTGAATTTGTCCAGAAAGTCAAACAACAGAGGCCTTTCTCAGATTGATCAAAGATGGCGCTTCCACACTGGGACCTTTCTTGAATAAAGAGCATCAGTGCGGGATTTGCTGGATTACTCGTGGGGGATGTTTGAGAATTTCACTCACTTTTTTTTTTTTTTTTTTTTTGCGGTACGCGGGCCTCTCACTGTTGTGGCCTCTCCCGCTGCGGAGCACAGGCTTCGGATGCACAGGCTCAGCGGCCACGGCTCACGGGCCTAGCCGCTCCGCGGCACGTGGGATCTTCCCGGACCGGGGCACGAACCCGTGTCCTCTGCATCGGCAGGCAGACTCTCAACCACTGCGCCACCAGGGAAGCCCAAGAATTTCACTCACTTTTATACTGTGGTTTAAAAGGAGGAATGAGTCAAGAATGACTAATACCTTTTAAGAATTGAAAACAGTCACTCATCCATGATAAGAAAGGTGGTATGCCTTCTAAGAAGGAATGATAGTAAAGTGGATAAAGCCAACCATTTATATATAACTTAGGGAACTGGAAAAATGCTATTTTTTAAATAATCTTCTGAGAAAGATGACTTGGGAGCGATTCAGTACGGAATTGAATTTACAGATTGTGAGAAGTTATTAATATATTCATGATTAAACAGCATTGTCAAATTCCTTCTAGTTTGTACTGAACAAAGAAAAAATCATCAAACAACAATCAAATCAAAAAAATCATTATCATTCATTGGTATTTACTATCCTCTGTGAGATATCAGGGATTCCTGGGTAATTTGGGATTAAAACATCGGTATCACAGGTAGACTTTTGTCAGTGTGGTTTTCTGAGTGGGGAGAGGAAAAGGGAAGACGATTTACTCTACAGAGTAAGCAAAGGGGCTAAGTGTTTAATACTCGAAAAAGAAAAGAAAGAAAAGGCATTATGCAATCAGTAGTTTCCATTGGTATGCCGTCTCAGCAGAATAAACTTCAAATGTCACTGTCCGAAAGATGAGGTGATACTTGCTGGTTTTTGCAGGGTTTCCCAACATTTTTCAGAATATTTTAAAAAACAGTTCTTCACACCATTGTAAAGCAATTATACTCCAGTAAAGATGTTAAAAAAACAAATTAAAAAACCAAAACCAAAAAACAGTTCTTCAGTTTTTCAAAACGAACTACATCCAACTTGAAACTGTTTTTTTTTCAGGTTAATTAAAATTCTACCGTTGCACGTGAATAAAGAATTTGTTCTGGACTCTATTTAAAGTCCCTGCCCACGTGTAAGCTGAGTGCCACTGGCTAAAATCCTTTCTCTGCATTTCTGCCTTTTCTAATCCTCAGGTGCTTTGGCAAGTAAAATACGGCGAAGGGATACTCTTGCTATCAAACTTGGCAACAGACCGTCTAAGAAGGAATTAGAGGACAAAAACATCTTGCAGCGTACCTCTGAAGAAGAGAGGCAGGAAATCCGACAGCAAATTGGAACTGAGCTTGTCAGGTAATTCCTGAAATCTGGGGACAGCACTGACTAATTCTTACTTTTCTCCTTCCTGCCGTTCCCTCCCTAACTGAGATCGCTGTGACTCCCTCATGGAAGGGCACGCCTGGCCTATCTGGTCTTCTAAAGTTGGTCTTGGATGGTGAATCGCTCAAAGAAACTCCTTTTTGGTCCAGCTAGCCAGTAGCTTTGAGGTCGCCAAAGCCCGATCCAAGTGGGGATAAACTTTTTCTATAAAGGACCAGTTAGTAAATCTCTTAGACTTTGTTGGCCAGACCGTCCCTATTGCAGCTACTTGACTGTGCTATTGTAGCGTGAAAGCAGCCATAAACAATACATAAACAGATGAGCACGGCTACATTCCAAGAAAACATTCTTCACCAAAACAGGCAGCAGGCCAGAGTTGGCCTGCGGGCCATAGTTTGCCCAACTCCTGGTTTGATTCATGGACTCCCTATAGCATTCCTATGACAGCCATCAGCTTCTGCCCTGGGGGCTGCAAGACTACAGAAATGTTAAGTAGCTTCAAGGGCCAGTTCCATCCTAGTCAGGTAGCCATAGCCCCCATATCGAAACTTCCCCCTTTTCACTTGAAATAAATGGTCATCTGACTGCACTTCCTGCCTCCGCCATTGTAGGATTTCTACTTTTGCCACTCGTGGCATTGGAAGTCCATGGAACTGGCAGTTTTAATAGAAGCAAGTGCTGAAGCTCTCCTTTTTATGATCAGTTTAAGCATATTTAAGTATTAGTTGTTTTGCTAACTTCCCTCACTCTGCATAAAAAATAGGTTGCATAAATTGGGAGAAGGGAACAGCCTGGAACACCAGAACAAGATTTGGAGGTGGGAGAAAAGTCCTCCCCTTGCTTGGAAGTGGAAGATTTCTGTGACTGTGGTGTACCTGCAGGGTAGGCATGTGTGGGGTCCAGAAGCCAGTCTGTTTTGTAGATGGGACCAAGCCGGGGCTTGTGCAGATTAAATGAGCTGGTACACTGGAGGTATGTTAGTGCCTAGATCCTAGCGAGCACTTAAGAACATTAAATATATTTGATTGAAGTATTACCTCTTAAATTAGCAAAACACTTTTATAAATTAAACCCAATGTCGGCAATTTTATGAGAAAATAGGACACATATACTTGGCCCTTGTTCAATATTTCTGAAGAACAACTTAATAATACAAGAAAAGAATTCTAAAACAGTATTTCTTTACATGGTAATTCTGTTTGGGAGGTTATACAAGAAGGAAATAATCTAAAAGGGAAAAAACCCTGTGTTTTCCAAAGATGTTTAGTTGAAGGGTATTTAGAGCAGTGACAAATTAAAACAAACCCAAAACACTCAAAAACAGGGGACTGATGAAGAACATTGTGAGAAGTTGACACCATGAAATAACTGTAGAGTGGTGGTTTTCTAACTGTGCATTAGGGTTTCTTGGAGAGGATACTCAGGCTTCCTGGGGAGAGCTAGGGAAGCGGGTGTGTTTCTGCCCTGAGGCGGGAGGGGACTCCTTCATTGTAGGTCTAAGTAGCCAACCAGAGCAGCACTTCTGTTTTTGTAAAATTCCACTCCAACCCCCAAAAGTTTGAGAGCCTCTAGAAACACACATGTAGTCCATATCTATAAAAATCTTATCAGGGTAGGGTTTTTAGTTTTATAAGTATATAAATTTTATAGAATTGTTTTTCTACAAACCCAGCACACCTAGTCCCTGTCATTCAAAGATAAACCACTTACAGTTCCTGCCTTAGAGAGCTCCATGTCTAGCGAAAGAGGCAAAATTTATACTGAGTGATGGGGATCATGTAAAAAGCACAAACATCTAGGTCAAGAGAACCAGGTAGGAGTCCTGGCTCTGTCGTTCAGTAGTGTTTTCTCGAAGGCAAGGGAATTAATCTCTCGTTTTCTTATCTGTAAAATGGGAACTGGCTGCTACCTTGCTGAATTGTTTCAAGGATTTAAGATAATGTAAGCTAAGCACCCAGCACAGTGACTGGGACTTAAAAGGATGAACTAATGAGAGCTGTGATTATTATCTTTATAATAATAAGTGCTTTAATTGATATATAATTTATGTAGAACTGCTGTAGAGGGACAAAGAACTAGGAGCCTTTAATAACTTAAAAGATTTCGAGGCTTCCCTGGTGGCGCAGTGGTTGGGAGTCCGCCTGCCGATGCAGGGGACGAGGGTTCGTGCCCCGGTCCGGGAAGATCCCACATGCCGCGGGGCGGCTGGGCCCGTGAGCCATGGCCGCTGAGCCTGCGCGTCCGGAGCCTGTGCTTCGCAACAGGAGAGGCCCGCGTACCGCAAAAAAAAAAAATTTCCGTAGGTGAAGAAGGAGAGGAGGGCATTCCAGAGAGAGGAAACTCCATAAACAAAAGAAGGATGATGGCTTTGGGGGATGATATCGTACAGATATATAGTATAGGATATATGAATGGCACACAATCTGGCTGGCATAGATGTTCACTGGCTTTTTTTGTGGGCTCACTTATTAAGTGAATTTCAGGGTATCGCTGATGAAGATTAAATGTTAAACTTTTTAATGAGCTATTCAAAATATCATTGATTTTAATTCTTCATACCATTTCTGTCACAGCCATAAACATTTAGAATTGGTAGTATCTTGCATTAAGATTGCCTTTCATGTATATTTGTTTAATTTGCACAAATTCAGTCTATCAATACATCCAGAGGAAGTTTTTGTCTGTGATTAACAACAAATTAATAATGTAAACAAGACCAAGAACAAAATTATAATGGGTTAATAAGACATTGAGCTCTTGTGTACAAATGATCAGGTACTAATCCCAAATGAGCCTGGCTTTTCTTGAAGGTTGATGGAAACGGCCTGTATACCTCAAGATAACTTTATATACATTGTAAATTTATCTGAGATCCCAAAAGTAATATTTTCCTGAAAGTACTGTGCAGTATAAATTGATCATCTCATGAATTGGTATGAACCCTTGAGCCTTTTTTTAGATTCTAATTATCTGTATGTTAATTAGGGTACAGGCTAAGCTGCTCTAACAGAGACCAAAAAGTGCAGTGGTCCAAACAAGCCACTTCCACGTGTTTCCTTCTTTTTCACATCACAGTGCAGGGGTAGGTGGGCTGTACAGCATGGGTTGGGGGGCTAGTTAGCAGTCTCAGCCACAATCTCTAGTCTCCAAACTAATGGAAAGGAGGCTTTTATTTTGTAGGCTTAAAAATGGATTTTTGTTTCTCAAAACACAAAAAAATACAGCTTTGCTTGTTGTTTTATTTTGCGTCTCCCATTAAGGCGGCCTTGTTTGTAACCGGCAGCATATCTGTTTTTTCATCACAGGAGACTTAGCCAGAGGCCCACAACTGAAGAATTAGAGCAAAGAAATATCCTGAAGCGTGAGTATCCTGTACTACACAGCGAATTCTTCGTGTAACCATGAACAAGCTCCCTCTAGAGAAAATCCATTTGTCAGCAGGGAACCTTAATATATATATTCGCAAATGACTGAAATGGTCCATTTAGATCACATTTCTATATAATTATTTATATCATTTTAAAAATAATTTCTTGAAGTTTGTGTTTCGTTTTATGGCTTTAAGCCTGATATACCCCAGAGCAGTGTCGTGGTTGTGACAGTTGTTTTTAAGAAAGATGAAATTTATTCCATGTATTCTTTCACCCAAATATTAAATAGAAGAAAATGCTCTAGTCTGCTTGCAACTAAATGTCAAAGAAAAGACCAAAAAAATCCACAAGGAAATAAATCAAACATTCCTATATTATTATTAATAACAGTTTGTTGCCAGGTTTAACAAATGACTCCATTTAAAACAATTATGGGAAAAGGAATTTTTCAATCCATTTCATTTTCCTTTGTTATGATAACTCTGTTTCCCTCTTGAGTTATTTATAATTTTTCAGCACTTAAGGAGTTCTCCATTCATTTTCCTACTTCATTTTCCCATTCTCTTTCCCCCTCTATTTTCTTGGACTTTACATTTTACTCATTGGTCCGGTCGTATTTACGTTATTGGAGTTCATATGTTGAAGCTATAAAATGAATAGAAGTGGTTTGTTGTGCTGTAGTGGATCGATGTGGTTACTAACCACAGTGAGTTAAATAATGGATATTTTTTAATTGAGCCTAGCTGTAGTTTTCTATATTATTAACCCAGTTTCAAAAGAGCTTTTTATTGTATGAAATATCAAAGAGCAGGGATGGGCAAAACTCCAGAGAGTACTATAATAGTAATGAGCCGCTGGCGTGGGGGAAATCTTTTTCAACCAGGCTTTTAGAGTCAAGTTGGCCCGTCTGGGTGATCCCCATTCTCCAGATGAGTTGTTTTCTTTCCTGAAGGAAAGAAAGATTTTAACAGCATATTTATACTACAGTTGCTATTACTAAGACAACCGGACAGTGAAGACTGAACAGTGGGATGAACTGCCAGTCTATGGGATTCTTTCCTTGCAAGGTTTTTTTCTGGCCTTTTTTGAGCATAACTGGCATGGAACCCAAAGAAGAAGGACTTAAGTGACCATCACTTAAGTGATGGTCACTTAAGAGCCAGTTTGGAGATGGAAAAAATCATGGCTAGATAAGAAAAAAAACCCAAAACTGTGTTTAGCTTTCTGAGGAAGAATGAAAGCAACATCTCATTTTGACAACAAAACCAAACCAAAAAGGCTCATGGTTTTTAATAATAGGTTCCTGGAAAATATTTATGAATTAACTTGTAGATAAGCTCAAATGCAGTCCATAAGCTCCCAAAACACAGAGAGTGTATCTTATTGGCTGCCTGATGCAATACCTAGAAAAAAAGAAAGAGCGAATTCTGGGTAATTCTTTCCTGCTCCTGGGAGACAGACAGAGCCAAACCACATTGCTGTTGGGTTATTTGAGGAACTGTTTCCTAGATTAGAGATGTATCGCACATTGATCTTAAGTGCTGTGTTGGCTTTATATACTCCATTGTCCTGGAGGTTTGGGGAAGGAGTGAAACGCCAAAGTCAGCTTCAGATTTGACACCAGCCTTTTTTTACTTCCTTCTTAGTTTGTCTAAATGTGCTTATGCTGGAAACAAAAGACACGTTTCCAGTCTGGAGAAGCTGATAACTGGCTTATGATCTCCTGACATAATGTATGGCCAAGGGAAGCAGAAAAGAGAACTGGTGGAGGTCACCCAAAACATTCTGCCGAGCAGCCCCAGGGAACTGGATGGCCGGAGCTGACAACACTTTATTCAGTTCCTCTTGCTTCTGTGTTCTTCCACATAGATTACTCGTTTGTTTGTTTTGTCTCCATCATTTGTTCAAAAGCAATGTGATTGTCTATTTGAAGAAAAGTCTGTGTGTGATGTGGTGTGATTTTTAAGGACACTTATTTAACGAGGTCATCTTTTCTTGACAGATTAGGAAACTAATTCACAGCATAAAACATTCAGCAGTGCTCAAATCCAAGCCTGTCACTAGTTTAATAAACATGACTCAAATGGCAGTCAATGCTGATAGCATTAATTGGAGACCACAGGACAAATTTCATTTCTTAGTATCTTTCCTAGTATCACATCTAATTTGATCTCTTTCCTATTTTAGTGCATCTAGGGTTTTTTAAGAAACATATATATTAAGTAAGATTTTAGAACTAGTTTCTTAATATTGTTAAAATAGCAAGTTTTGGTGTTCATAGGATCAACTTTTGCTTATCAGGAAAAGAGATGTTCGTGGAACATCTACAGGGTAGGGATAAAATATTCAGGTCCTCTAATACTGTTTAGCTAGGGCCATAATTCCAGCTAAATCATCATAGAGAAAACATGCATTAAGCCATTGAGTTCTGCATGTATTTTTCCCCAGTGTTTTGTTATGTAATTTTTTAAGCATACAGAAAAGCTGAAATAATCTTACAGTAATACCCATACATCTACTATCTTTATTCTACCGTTAACATCTTACTTTTTCACATATCTGTCCATCCATGGAGCCATCTTATTTTTTGGATGTATTTCAAAGTAGGTTTATAAATGTATTTTCATTTCTTACCAACACCCATGTGGAAACATGTAAAACAGCAAAAAGTGAAACAATCCCACAAAAAAATGTTTGGCTATTTTTAATCCATCTTATCTGAGTTGGTGACTGAAGAATATAGTACTCCAGTTGTTGGTACTTTGGTGCTTTTCTTTCTTCTCCTTTTCACATCATCCATGAAAGGCTCTGGGCAGCACTTGGCAGGCAGGTTTCTTGTAGCGCCCACTGCTGTTAAACTACGTGTATCGTTTGTATGCTTATGGCAAACGCTTTCCGTGGCTGTTCTGATACCCGCCCCTCTCTGCTCTGATGAGTTACTGAGGGTGAGATTTGTCAGTGAGCCAGTCACTTCCTTCATGAGTATCCCTCCAGTCTGTTTAAAGTGACCAGACGTGCTTTCATCCTACTTTATAATTAGCCCTCTAATAATTTTTTTTTTTTAAAGTTCCAAAAACTCGGGCTTCCCTGGTGGCGCAGTGGTTGAGAGTCCGCCTGCCGATGCAGGCGACATGGGTTCGTGCCCCAATCCGGGAAGATCCCACATGCCGCAGAGCGGCTGGGCCCGTGAGCCATGGCCGCTGAGCCTGCGCGTCCGGAGCCTGTGCCCCGCAACGGGAGAGACCACAGTGGTGAGAGGCCCGCGTACCGGAAAAACCAAAACCAAAACCAAAAAAAAAAAAGTTCCAAAAACTCGGTGAATTTTTGTTTTGTTTTGTTCGTACTGCACGGCTTGTGGGATCTTAGTTCCCTGACCAGGAATCAAACCCAGGCCCTCGTCAGTGAAAGCACGGAGTCCTAACTACTGGACCACCAGGGAATTCCCTTGGTGAATTTTTTAAAACCAAGTTTAAGGTTTAACCTTGACTCTTAGTAGAAGATTTAACAATGACTATTTAGTAAGATTCCTAGGAACGGTCACATTGGCCTTCCTCCACCTCTCACCCTCCTCCTCTAACTTCTTTAGAGGCATAATTTCAAATATGGGAAATCTAAGGAAGTCAGTTCCTGATGTTAGAGAAGAATTCCCATTTGGTAAAATCCTGTTTATTTACAGTTGGCCCTCCTTTTTTTAAATATCACTGGCTGACACCTAGATGTGCAGTATGCTTCATAAAGCAAAATTATCTAATATTCTCTTCCAGGAAATTATGTTTTGTGTATTTCTTGAAAATTGGAGCATTTGTTAGCTTTGAGTCATACTAGATATCCAGTATTTTGTCTTTGGAAAGTACCTTTGAAAATGTAGCATAATCATTATATAGAAAGAATAACTGAAATGTTTTAACAATTATATTTTTCTCTTTATTAATATCATCAAAGGCCTGACCCTGTAAAGCCCTAGTTTGAATCACATGAACCACAAGTTCAGTATTTGTCTATTATATATAATTTACAATCCACATGTCTTATCCAACTCATATAAAGTAATTATTTGGGACTTCCCTGGTGGCGCAGTGGTTAAAAATCTACCTGCCAATGCAGGGGAAACGGGTTCAAGCCCTGGTCAGGGAAGATTCCACATGCCTTGGAGCAGCTAAGCCCGTGCACCACAACTACTGAGCCTGCGCTCTAGAGCCTGTGAGCCACAACTACTGAGCCCGCGAGCCACAACTACTGAGCCTGCGTGCCACAACTGCTGAAGCCCACGTGCCTAGAGCCCGTGCTCTGCAACAAGAGAAGCCACCGCAGTGAGAAGCCGGCACACTGCAACCAAGAGTAGCCCCCGCTCACCGCAACTAGAGAAAGCCTGCACACAGCAACGAAGACCCAGTGCAGCCAAATAAATAAAATTAATTAATTAATTTTTAAAAAAAGAAAAGAGAGCAGCAGATGTCTGCCTGCATTCTGAGTCTCCCCACTTCCTTTAAAAAAAAATAATAGTAAAGTAATTATTTGGCCCTAAGGATGTGTTTTAAGGATATCAAAGGATATGTTGCAATATATTTTGTGAAGCAATTAGAAAAACCTACAGTATTGTCATAGGAAGAAATCTGAATTATAATCAGATTTTGTTTGACACTCACAGGCACTTAATGAAAGCATACTAACTAGTTGTTTCTTGTCTTGCAGGGTAATTTCAATTTATGTTCATTCTTTGTCTAAATAACCAGACTGATCAACCTCTTTCTTATAAATTAAAATTAGTATTTCGGAAGAATGTCAAAACTTTTCCCTGTCCAGATAAGGAAAATTAATAGAGAATTTAGCATGTTCAGCTAGCAAATACAGATGTTGCAAATATTGAATACTGATACTCTATTCACAGTAAAAACAATCTTAGTGCTAAGAAGTCTGTTTGAATTTTAAAAGTAAATCTATCTGTTACAGAGGAGACTTTTCTTTCTCAGCCTTTTGGTTGAGCCTTTATACAGTGTGATTTTCCTTCAGTAGAATTCATAACAGCACTTTCTAAAAGACATTCTTTCGTAAGCATTGGTATCCAAGAATCTATGCTCACTTATCAAACAAAGTATGAGCTACAGGAACCAACAGAGAGAAGTTCATCAAATAGCAACCATTAAAATCCTGAGCAGTGTTTATTTCTTTTAAAATTCTGGGCAATTTTTTCTTAATTCCATCTGTTGGACAGCGTTCATTTGAGTTGGCCTTTAAATTGTACTACTTGGTGAAGCACTAGAGAAAGAGAAGACTTTGGAAAGTTAGCATCGCAAGAAAATAAATCATCTCCAACATCCGTACACCACAACCCCATTCAGAACATTCTGGTTTGAAAGCAAAGTCCAAAGAAATGATTACCTTCTGCTTCTATGGAAACCAAAGCAGACAAATCAAGTATTTTGCTTGGATTTGAATGGAAATCAGCAACTCAGACATGCATCAGGTGGTTCTAATTTGTTCTTTTGATGTGATTCAGATTTTCACACATAGGTCAGATCCAGTAGTAGTTTTTATCTGAATTCTGATAAATTGTGCTTATAAAAGCCTATGAGATGATCAGCAGTGAGAGGCTTTCACTGGAGTATGGGCACTCTGTGGTTTTTTCAGAATAGAACAAGCAGTCAGGAAGCAAAAAGTTTTACAATTAGTAAATAAACCAATCCTATAAGGAAAAGAATATTATCTGTATATTAACGATTGATCCCTCTGCAGAATCTTTCGATAACTCTTTAAAGATGTTGGTGGAGTGTTTGATCAATATCCGTGAAGTCAGATAACTGTGGCCTGAGCTACTTTTCTGATTGTATAATCTTTTATAGTAACTAAGTCTTCATGCCTTTCCTCCCCTTCCCCCCAATTAATAAACAGAAAAGAATGAAGAGGAAGAGCAAGAAGCAAAAATGGAGCTGAAACGCAGACTCAGCAGAAAGGTGATGAAACTGTGATGGTTAACGAGCGTGTGTATTTTGAGATACACTTCATTTTTAAAATGCAAATCAGTGCTTTACATGTAAATCTGATATTTAGGAATAATTATTCCTGTTAGTCTACTGACTAATCACAGACATTAAAATCAATGTAATGTTTGCAACATGAATTATGTTTATATTAATGCATCATATGCTAATTTTGAAAAGTTGACAGTCAAAAGTTTTCAATTACATTTGCCAGTTATGAAAATAACATATAATCTGTGTGAAATTCTTTCAAATGCCAGAAGGAACAAAAAAGACTAGAAAATCATGCAGACGTCTCCCATTCAGAGATAACCATTATTAACCTTTCAGTGTGTAGTTTGTAAAAATGCTCACTGTTTCCATGCAGTTTGGAAAACACTGAACAAATACTTTGTCATTACTAAAGATTCTGAGCTGGGTGAGTAATTTATTAAGTGAACTTGATCATCCAGCTTGCCTGCTGCAGTGCTACCCAAATTGACAAATGGCTTACCTCCAAAACTCAGACCGTTGTTTCTACCCATTTATGAAAATATAAATCTGATACCAGGGCCCTCGCTTTTTTCGGTAAGTGTTAAAATAATAATAATTTTTGGAAAAATTAAGCACTATCAGAGTTTATATTTCATTAAAAACACCTTGCTCAGTAATTCTTCAGATATACCTTTCACAGCTGGATAAGGCAGGATGAGTAAAATATGACATCTGCATCAAAGAGTGTGACGTGACCCACATTTATTTGGGCTGGCTGGGGAGTTCACAGCCAAAACATTCCAAGGCAGAAAGAAGCACTCCGTTCCCATGGAAAAGTTGGAGACTGTATTTTGAGAGGTTTTGGTTTTGATTTTTAGGGAAAAATAGCCTTAATTCATCTCTTTTTTTCCTCAGAGATCCCAAACATCAAACAATAATCAAGTTAAAAAAGACACTATAAACTGAATTTCTTGAGATGGCTCTTCTAGCCATTCAATGGCCATTCAGTTACTAGCTACAGATAAGCGGTAACCCCTCCTCCTTGCTCTGGCTCACCTCTGTCATACATATAGTCTTTTCTTAATCCAGTTGGGTCCTTCTGGGAGACAGCAGAGCTGCCCTACCCCCACTAGCCTGTACCACACAGAGCTCCCTGCCATAGGTGCAAAATATTCCATAGCACTAATAGCTACCCTGTAACTGGTACAGCCCTGAAGGGCAAGACTAGATGGAGAACTTCTGACCTCTGTGACCATTGGCCACTTGCATTGTGGGAAGTTCCCAGAAGCAAGGGTTTCTCTACCTCCTTAATCCTACCTGCCCTAGAGTGGCAGTAAGAAGCTAGCGGTATAGATAGCACAGTAACTGAGAGTATAACAGAACCACTTAGATTTCTCTTTCCTTTGTCCATCACCTACCAGGGCTTTATGAAGATAGAAGGAGCCGCCATTGCCTTATCCCAGGTCAAGTAGGCTCAGGGTGTAGACCCAGACCTAAGAATCCTTGAATGCCTTGAATTTTAGAGCATTGACAGTTCAGCCTCTGGTTTTACTCAAGAGGAAACCAAGGAAAGGGGAGATTTTTGACCACAAAAACATCAGTTTTTGTTTGTTCGTTTGTTTTATGAGAGTGCTTAATTTTTCCAAAAATTGAACCCATGGAAATAAGGAATGCCTCCAAAGAGGACCACTTAAACCATGGATAGTCTGGCTGTATATAGAGTATATGTATGGAGAGAAGAATACTGAAAATGGACCCGATGGGTAAAACATAGGCCTGGATCTACGTGTCTGACAATACTGTGACACCTCCCAACTGAGAAAGACCACAAAAGCATGAAACTTAATAGCGGACAGTAGATGATGCCTGTTCAACCAGGGGCCAAGTTTCTTTAGTCTCTCAGGACAATCTCTGTCTGTTCTTGGGCTTGAGAAAGGACCATGAGAGGAAAACAAATACACACAGGGCGGGGTAGATTAAATATAACCATAAATTTGAATTTGACAAAAACCACAGGGGAACTCCAAGTTATTAGAAGTGTCTTAAGGTTGCAGCTGGGTTTAAGCAGTTGTGGCCTCACTGAAGTGCAGTTTTCCAGTGCGTCCCCCCCCCTCCTCATTGCTGCATATCAGCTTTTCTTGCCAAGGGTAAATGTCAGATCTGGACCTGTGTCCTTAGACTCTCATGGAAGACTGCCATAGGCACACCCTTCACTGGACCATTCCTTTGTTGTAACTTTGTGCATTTCTGAATATGCAGGTTTAATATAGTAGGAACAGAGGTTTTTATTCTCATTTCTACAAGTTGTAGGGCTTTTGTCTTGATAATTCAATCTTCAAACCAGCCATACTATATCTGGATTACTATTGTGTCTGTCCCCCATGTCAGAGATGACAGGCACCTTTATCACAATGCCAGGCAAGGTGGGGAAAATAGCATAATGCAGATGGTTGCTAAAGACTGTGACCTATCTAACAATGGTGATTTTTATAGTTGCAAAATTAGGGCACACTGCTTTCTAGTTCTCATTAGAAACTCCCAAGATGCTGCTGCCTTTTTTTTTTTTTTTTTTTTTTGATATGTGAAAGTGACCTTATGTAACCATAACTTTGAAGTACTCTGTAGAAAACGTGCCACCATGAGGCTGTAAATGGTTTACTGAACTCATCCCTATCCTCCTGCAGCTCAGCCTGAGACCCACAGTGGCAGAGCTGCAAGCTCGAAGGATCCTGCGGTTTAATGAGTACGTAGAAGTCACCGATTCACCTGACTATGATCGCCGGGCAGACAAGCCCTGGGCCAGGTTAACACCTGCAGACAAGGCAAGACCTCAGTGGCTTGAGCCATGATTTTATTTATGTATGATTTTGTTGTTTTTCTAAAAGCTCCAATACCTACTTACTGCTTACTTAGTCACCTTAGGAGACTAGGTATTACCAAATATCCCAATAATTTTCTGCCTTTGATTATTTAAGACGCTTAGGTGATACATTTAATAACATCAACATATTTCTTTCAATTAAGTCTCAGAAAAAACTTGTTCTTTGTTACCATATAACCTGCCTGCGTTCAAACCTGGATTGAGGTGGAGCATGTTTCCCACAGCCATGATTTATCCTTACTCGTAGAAAATATAACTTACACAAGTGACTCTTTTAAAGGGATACGTTAACAGTGGGAAAGGTATTGATCTCTAATCAAGGCTGGCAGACTTTTTCTATAAATGGCCAGAAAGTAAATATTTTAGGCTTTGTGGGCCGTCCAGTCTTTGTTGCAGTGGCTCAGCTTTGCCTTTGTAGCATGAAAGCAGCCATAGACAATGTGTAAGTGAATGGATGTATATGTGGTCCAATAGAACTATATTTATAAAAACAGATGGGGGTGGTGGTGGGATGAATTGGGAGATTGGGATTGACAGTATATATACTAATATGTATCGAATAGATAACTAATGAGAACCTGCTGTATAGCACAGGGAACTCTGCTTCACAGTAGAAACTAACACAACATTGTAAAACAACTACACCCCAATAAAAATAAATAAATTAAATAAATTAAATAAACCAGATGATGGGCCACATGTGGCCTATGGGTCATGGTTTACCAGCACTTAATCTATATCATGCTCACAGTTCAGAATAACTGAAATATGTAGAGGGTTCCATCATGAAGAAAGACTAATTATTTTACGAGTACCATGGTTACATAAAGAATTTTGCCAACCATTTGTTTGTTTTTAAATTCTTCACTTTACAATTTTCCTGATCTCCCAAATAATGGTTTCTAATTTTTGTCTCAAAGCAAAATTCCATATTGAGTAGTCTCATGCCACACCCAGTCTTAAAGCTAGAACTAGGTATTTAGTTACACTCTGTGCTGATGCCCTCTAATAGGAGATTTCATTCTGTAAATCACCTACTATGTGTCAAGCTCATATTGGAGATACAGAATCAGTATTAGCTCATAAGAAGAAATGAAAACTAGAAAGGAGCCAGATTACAAAGGAAGAATGTGCAGAATGAAAACAGAAGGGAAGGAGACTGGGAATAGAGCCCGAGAAACCCAACACGAAGAGACATTAGAAAAATACTGAAAAGAAATGTCTGTGAGGTGGGGAAAGAGATGTAGCCTGGCAGCCTAGAAAGGAGAGTGTCAGCTCACAAGTGGTTAGTAACACAGTGAAAGGAGGCATTTTAGCTGACTGACTGTGGTGGGGACCGTGAGAGTAAAACACAACCTCAAGGAAGAGATATGGGAACATACGTATATGTATAACTGATTCACTTTGTTATAAAGCAAAAACTAACACATCATTGTAAAGCAGTTACACTCCAATAAAGATGTTAAAAAAAAAAAAGAATATCAAGGGAGTGATTTTTTAATTTATGGGAAATACCTGAGCCATCTTTTATGCCATGAGGAAGGAGCCAAAAGAAAGGGAAAGTTTGCCTATATAGGAGAAAAAGTCAGTGAGTGATAGAGCATAATCAGTGGTGCAGCAGGTCAAGGATTATGCAGAAAAGGCAAGGAGGAAACCCTTGAGGTTGGGATGGAGAACACAGGCTGAGGAATGTGCCCTAAAAAAGGAGGCTTCCCCCAGGCAGGTGAAATCCCTCAGATTGAGGGCAGCCATGAGGGCATGAAGAAGGCTGTGATACTCAGGTCATGGGGCAAAAGCTTACCATCAGTCAATACCAGGTTTCTTGTAGGAAATAGCAAGTTTATGTGTTACCAATAATCGCCTGTTAACTACTTAATGTGATTTCTTGCCCTTAGGCGAGAGTGACTCAGGTCACTCAGTGTTATTCAGCTGACAAATGGGCTGCTCTGGAGGGTCGAGGTGGCTTGTTTACATATCTGGTGTCTTGGTGAGGATGGCTCAGAGGCTAGGCTTATTAGCAGCTGGGCTCAGCCAGGGCTGTCCACCAAAGCACCGACATATGGCCTCTTCAGCATGGTGGCCTCAGAGTTGTCAAGCTTCTTTCATGGCGGCTGGCTTGTCCCAGAGCAAGTGCCCCGAGAGAACCAGGTGAAAGTTGCATAGCCTTATCTGACCCAGCTTTAGAAGGCACCCAGCCTCGCTTCCACCACATCCTGTTAGTTCCCGGCCAGTCATAAGGTCAGCTTAGATTCAAGGGAAGGGGAATTAGCTCTGCCTTTCAGTGGGGGAGAAGGTCATATTGCAGAAGAAATGTGAGCTGGAATTATTATTGCTGCCATCTTTGGAAAATGCAGTCTGCCATATCCACCATTCCCAGTTATCACGTTACTCAAATGTTGAATTTCAGAAAGGCAGGTAGGCCGTGGCCAGGTAAATGATTAAAATCAGAGCAAGTGCAAAGTATACAAGCAGTGAGAGTCTAAATGATTAACCACCCTCATATGGAAACTACATTTTCCATACTCTAGAAATAGTCCTTCCTAACTCTTGTCTGTTGGTGGAAGGTAAAGTTTGTCCACCTCTAGCTATAGCAGAGAGGATTTTTCTTTTTAATTTTGTGTTGAAACAAAAATAGATTTTTTTGCTGGACTTCTAGGCTGCAGGGGAGATGTGCTTGGTCGAGTTTTCTTCTACAGGATTAATGTCTCTCCACGAGTAATTTGAAGGCACATGACTTTCACATCCCCCCTGCAGATGGAACCCTGAGCCCCAGAGCACAGCCAGAGGCCCTCCCTACTCACATCTGAGTCTCATTTTCTCCCTTTGGCATTGTCTCTCCCATTAACCCTGAGACCTTTGAAGGTCTAAAGGACTGCATTTTTAGAACTGGATTTGTATTGTAGGTTTTTTTCTCCTTGAAGAAAAATAAGAAATAATTTCTTTTGGAAAGAAAAAAAATGTTGCATACTTTTAAAAGATAGAAAATAGAAAACAGGCAACAATGTAAAATGCTTTTAATGTATAGTACTTCGTATATACACAAGTGACTTGTGTCTATTGGCAAAAATCAGAATATTCAAAAATACAAGAAGAGGAAATAATAATTACAGTGCACATCAATGCATGGTATTTTTAAGAATTTCTAAAAATACTGTTTTCAACCTAACACTGAAAAAAATAATCTGTTTTCTCTAGATGTTAAAAGATTTGTATAATGTAACGTTATTGCCCAGAGATACTAAAACTATCAATGGTCTTAGTATATATTTTATTTTAGAATGAAAACCCATGCTAATCATTATTATCGTAACAAGCATTTCTGGATTTCTGTTGCTTTTTACTTTAAAATATTCATAATATATGACGATAAGATTTATAATGATATATTTTTTTAATAAGTTAATCAATATAGAAGCCTATAATTTACCTTTGTATTAAAAAAGAATTTTACTTTTTAACTTTTGAGCTATATATCCCATTTAAAGAAAAAAAACTATTGAAAGTAAATATTTCTACCTCTGCTCTCAAAATAAACACTGAACTTCCTGCCAGCCTAAAGGAGCCATCCTTCTCTCTCTTTTCTTAGTGCTATTTTCTTAGCCCCACTAAGATACCACTTTGCATTTAGAAACTTTTTTGAACTTCAAATGTAGTGAAAAGGGGTCAGTAGCCAATTAGTCAATGACCAATCAATGCCCATTCTATGAAAACACTGTGCTGGGTATTCTGGGGAATCTCATAGACCTGCTAGTCTTGTTAAACTGCCCAAAATGGGAAAGAGAAGTAGTGGAGAAGATGCATTATTAATTGTGAACTTGATTGAGCTTAAACCACCTTTAACATAAAATTTTTAATTTTAGAATATCTGTGCTTGGGTAGAGCACTAGAAACAGATACACATATAGTAAGATATCTGTGGCCTCTATAAGATATATATGGCCTATATAGATATCTGCTGGAGTAGATGAGCCCTAAGGTGACAAGTAGAGCCAGAGAAGGCCATCAACTTGGCTTGAAGACCAAAGCGCCCACAGCAGTTGCCATCTCCCTGGGGTAAGCCATGGAAGCTCCATGTAGAGAGGAGAGGGCAGGCTGTGGAGCAGGGCGCTTCTGGGTTTGATTCCTACTTGGCCACTTGGTAGATGTTTGACCTTGGCCAAGTCATTTAACTTGGGTTTCCTCACTAGTAAAATAGAGCTAATTATATCTATCCTGAGAATTTAGTAGATTATCTATAGAGTTCCAGCTAATCAATAAATGATAGCTCTTACCAGTATTACTTTCATGGTCAGGCTTGATAATCTAAGCTTTGTTCCCCATTGGTGACATTTTCATTACTCATTGAAGCCTCAGTTTACAGTCTAGTCTAAATTTATCCAATGAAAGAGAATCTGGAATTTTTCAGATGATACATGGGTTTGTCCAAGTTACTCAGTAGTCACGTATTAAAACCCTTTTAATATATTAAATATTGTCTTAGATACTGGGGACATAAAGATGGGTAGAACATACCACCCTCCCAGGAATGCACTGTCTAAATAAGTCCAGGGAAGACTGAGAATTTAATTCCATACAGAGATGTTCTTTGGCTTATTCATGGTTGCCCAGGCAGCAGAGAGTACACTTATCTAACCATGGCGTTGAGCTTGATGAGTAGTCAAGAAATCCCCTCCATGTTAAACATCAGATTTTTATCAAAGAAATAAGCAAAGACATCGAAACGATGGGAGTTCAAGTTAATCCTCATAGCTCAGGTTATTTGAGAAGGCAGCAAGTCCATATATTCAACAAATCACCTCTTGCTTCTGGCCAGGCTGACCCCTGAGCTGACTGAGAGTGATAAGCAGACCTTCCATCACCAGTCATCATGAGTCAATCTTAAACTTAGTTCCAGTCATTTTTGTTTCCTTTTTCCTTTCTAAATTCTCATGCTACCAAACAACACTACATATTTGGTGCCAGTACTGTCTCTTGTGGACTTGTTTTGTTTCAGTCTCAGAAATACCTAGTCTTGGCCAAATGACTCCCCCTTGTTGACCCAACTCAGCACTATTCAGACTTCAATCCCACTACATCAGCCTACCTCTTTCTATCCCATTATCTTTCAAAAAAATATCAGTCCCATTTACACTTATGTGAAGAGTTATTAGACTTAAACTCTGGTTTCGTTTGTATAGAAGAGAGTTAAGATTATTGTACATGTATTTCCTTAACATAAAGGGTATTTAATTACTTTTTTCCTCTCCAAACTCTCTCAGGAAACCTTCTCTTTAAATAGTAAGAAGGGGACTTCCCTGGTGGTCCAGTGGTTAAGACAACACACTTCCAACTGCAGGGGGCGCAGGTTCAATGCCTGGTCAGGGAACTAAGTTCCCACATGCTGCACAGTGCGGCCAAGTAAATAAATATAAAAATAAATAAATAGTAGGAGGAAATAACTCTTGGAATAAAACTGCGTTCTTCAGTGAATATTTAAAATGGTATTACATTTCTTTAACTGCCTATAGTCACATCTTCCTGATATATATTCAAACAACCAGCCCCTGTAATTTCACATCACATTCATTGCTTATAACTGACTCATCATTTCTGATTACAAGCTAGCACACACAGCATGGAGATCTGAGACAATTATCTGGATGACTTAGGCCCTGAAGCTCATTTTATTGGAAAGAGCGTGGGACTTGAAGTAAGAAGGCCTATCTAGCACCATACGAAGTCACTTCAGTATTACTGACTGTATCCCCTGTGCTATACATTACATTCGTATGACTTATTTATTTTGTAACTAGAAGTTTATACCTCTTAATCTCTCTCACCTATTTTACTCATCCCTCTGCTACACCCCTCCCACCCCAGCAACCACCAGTTTGTTCTCTGTATCTGTAAGTCTGTTTCTGTTTTGTTAGGTTTGTTCATTTGTTTTGTTTTTTAGATTCCACATATAAATGAAATCATATGGTATTTGTCTTTCTCTGTCTGACTTAGTTTATTTAACGTAATACCCTCTAGGTCCATCCATGTTGTTGCAAATGGCAAGATTTCATTCTTTTTCATGGCTGAGTAATATTCCATTGTATCTTGTTTATCCATTCTTCTGTCAATGGACACTTGGGTTGATTAAGGAAGACTTTTTGATAGATATTAATTGGTGATGAATATAGAGAGTTTTTGCTATTTTAGCTGGGTATCAGCCAGATACTGGTTTTGGGTATCAATTTTTACAGTGAGTGAAACAAAAAGTATCCTCACTGTTGATCTCACTTGTGAAACAAGATATATAGTCTTATCACAGGGAACTTGTGGGCCCAGAAATATTTCTCTACTTGATTCATCCTCTTCCAAAAAACCATTAGCAGGAACCACTGCCACAGTCCCCAGCCTCAGGTTCCTCATAGAAGCTACAGGGGCTGAGGAATATATTTGGAGAGACAATCTATGACTATAGGATTTAAACATAACATTGAAAGCAGCATTGGGGAAAAGCTTGTGTATTGCAGAGTGATAGCTAGTGATGGGAGAAAGCCAGAGAGAGGCCTCAAGGCTTTCTTCTGTCTTTTCCCTTTTCTAAAATACATCATTTTCCAACCACAAAGTAGATTTTCTTATCTCTCTGTAAAGCCATTCTCTGTGGTTTGTAATGTCATTCTGTTTCAGCTGAAGAGTCCATTTCTCAGAGGTTATGGGGATGCTTTTATTAGTATTTTTTCATTTACATGAGGAAAAGCTTCTTCCTAGAAAAATTAGGAAATAAAGATAAGCACATAGTTGAAACCGAAAAACCATCCATGATCCAGCCATTATTGTTCATACATAACTAATGTTAACATTTTGATGAGTATCTCAGCTTTTCAACCTGAAAGGACATAGCATCTCTTCCAACCCCAGCGTGTACATGACATGGATTATGTGTTCAATAAATAGTAATAGTAATAGGATTCTACTTGATATTTTCTTTGAGTGGCTTGAAGTGTTGTGCTGAAATTTTTGATTCTCATTGTCTAAACTTTCAATATAAAAGAATAAATAGCAATTGCCTTCTCTGTAGCTCTGTGCTAGCTCGTCAAAGCCATGTTGCTGTGGGTGGTATGACATGCAGAACTTTCATAGGAAAACGATATTGTTTCTCAAAAAAATCTCATGACCTGTGCTATCCTTGTGGTCATCGAGGATGGGGGATGTGGGTGACTCATAGATCAGGCCCCAGGGTGAGTTTGGCAAAGGCCTCCTTCATCTCTGCCTTGTCAATGTCACCTGAAGGAAATCTGTCCTGGTTTTTGTTTGGCTGTAGTATTGACATTTCATTTGTCATACCTTTACCTAGTAGAAATTAGAAATGCCTTTCTCCAAGACATTTCATCAAAGAATGTCTGCTTCATTGATGCTATGTATACTGAGGAAATATGTGATCTAAATAACAATTCAGTTTATCTATTTTTCCTATTTAGGCGGCAATAAGGAAAGAACTAAATGAATTTAAAAGTACAGAAATGGAAGTTCATGAAGAGAGTCGACAGTTTACCAGGTAGGTAAACAAAATGCAGTTGAGCAAATTGAAAATGAGTAAGGTGGTAAACTTATGTTACATGTATTTCATCACAATTAAAATTTTTTTAAAAATATAGTTAAACACAACACCCACTATCTAGTGAACATTTCTAAAATTAAGTCTTTTTTTTTTCTTTCAAAGAAGTCTGAATCATTCCAAAGGGCTATGTTTTCATTTCTTTCTTAGTTTTATTTTCTGGCCCCCAAAACAAGTATCAGCATCATTTATTCTGCTCTTGAAGAGACACAGTTGAAGTTTTATACCCAGAACAGATGCTGGTGAGAGCCAGTTTGGGCACATATGTGTCTGCTTTGAACTCACATAACTTAGAGAGGGTAGGAACTCAATTTTGAGAAGACGTAGCTTAGAAAGGAATTCGATTTTTACTGCTGCCACAGAAGATCACTATACTCCTACCATTTTTCCTCCCAACACACTTCAGTTTCACAAGCTGCTAAAACCAGAAGGGACCTAAGTGATCGTGTAGTCTGACCCCCCTACTTCACAGGTGTTCTGTTTATTTCTCTCACGGGTTTACGTGCTTTGCTACATGTAACAGGTGTTATGTAAGATTTTTCAAAGAATTTGCATGCGAATCAAATCTTTGAAACTTGAATTGTTAAAAAAAAACATACCAGGACAGATGATTACGTGAAGAATACCATGGTAGGTCTTTCTGGAAAGCAGATACTGATCCCAGGACTAGAAACAGCCTCTGTAGGGCAGCCATACATCATGGTGCGACAGCATCTGCAGTGGTTCCTGTTGGTGGTGGTGTTCCCTGCTGGGGAGCGTGTCCCATGATAAAGGCAGTGGTGATGTATCTTCATAATTTAATAGCAAATCCCTTCCCTGAGGTTTATGGGGGCCTGCTTGCTCCATAGCTATTGGTCCTATAATAATGTCTGGCATGTAGAAGAAACTCCCCTTTCTCCTAGGGATAGTTCTTCCTTATTTGTTTTGTTGTCTCCTGCATCATGTTTATTTGTAAATGCATGTAGGGCTTTTAGACATCCTGAATATATAGACTTTTTCTCTATTTGAGTGCTTTATCCTATGATAATCTGCTCTTGGACCCATCACCTTCCCATATCAAGCAGACCTATTTGTCCTCTCCTTTTCTCCCTTCCACTCCTGGGGTCAGGAAGAGTTCATGCTAATATCTGACACTGTGGTCACACTTCTCCAGTTAAGTTGATCATCATAAGGCAGCTGGATATTTATGGTGACATTGAGCTGGCTGGGACCTCCAGGAAACTGGGGAGATGCCATGTGTTTGTGTCGCTGAGTCCTCAACCTGAGAGTCCTGAGATGTAGTGACTGCACGCAACCCAGTTTTTGACATTTAGGATAGTTTTACATCTGTATAGTTTTCCTAGGAATTGTAGTAACTGATTAACTCATTTCCATTTGACAGCATTGTATGAAGAATAAATTACAATAGAAATAATCAAAATTTTTAAATGCACTTATACGAAAGTTCTCATTTTATGAAAATTAAACATAGGTCCTCTTCTTCTGTTGTACACTGTGACCAAGTAAAAAAAGTACGATGTAGGGAGAAATGAAGTTCATTTCTTTTTTATCTATGTATTCTTATGTACACAAATAATACATTCTAATTAAGCATTCAAACATCACAAAAATCTATCGAGGAAAAGTGAAAACTTCCTTCACTCCTTCCCCAAATTCATCCCCATTCTCACAGGAACCACTGGTAAGAGTTTGGTGTAGATCTTTGTAAACAGTTTTCTGTACCTTCACAAACATGTATATATATGTGATATATGTGTACGTGCTTATACACAAAGACAGTTATACACAAAGACAGCATCTAGAAAATCTGTCCATGTTAGCATATATTTCATTCATTTGAATGACTCTATGGCATTTCGTAGATAATACAGTATGCTGTAAGTTGTTGAACAATTATTCTATTGATGGATGTTTATGAAAATTTCAGTTTTCCATTATTTAAACAATGCTACCTTGACTTTCTTTGTTAATACACTCTTTTGCATACATGCCAATATTTCTGTAGTATACGAGTATTTGCTATATCCACTAAATATATATTTTTTAACATTTTGAGAGATTACTATTCTCTTGTCTTTCCAAAGGACACAGTTTTCATTGCGACCTCCAGTTTATGAACATGACTGGTCTACTCACCTTCATCAGTATTTTGGGGTGGTGGGGGTTCTAAAGAATGAACAATAATATCCTATTTCATTGATTTCTGTAAGGTTAGGCATTTTTACATATTTTTATTGATTTTTTTCTAATTTGATGTGCTTTGACCAGTTCTCTTTGGAATTGTTTGTATTTTTCATATGGATTAGTAAAACTTCCTTAAATATTGTGGATATCGGCCCTTTGTTACATGTGTCACAATACTTTCCCCCAATCTGTAGTTAATGTTTTAACTCTTTCTATGGTCTTTTGTTTAAATTTTTGCATATTCAAATTTGTGTATATTGTTATGTTTTAGTTCATTATTTTGTGTCTTATGGAGGATGGCCAAGATTATAAAACTCATTTTTGATTTTTTTTTTTTTTTTTTTTTTTTTGCGGTACGCGGGCCTGTCACTGCTGTGGCCTCTCCCGCCGCGGAGCACAGGCTACGGACGCACAGGCTCAGCGGCCACGGTTCACGGGCCCAGCCGCTCCGCGGCATGTGGGATCTTCCTGGACCGGGGCACGAACCCGCGTCCCCTGCTTCGGCAGGCGGACTCTCAACCACTGCGCCACCAGGGAAGCCCCATCTTTGATTTTTATATGTGCTTTTTTAAAAATACTTAAACCTTTCATTCACTGGGCATTTATTTGTATGTATGATTCAAGGGAGTAAACTAACTTTACTGTGTTCTATTTTTGTTGTTGTTGTTGACTTTCTTTTTTCTAAATCAATAATCAGTTGTCTCTATGCCATTTGTTTCCCCCTTTATGTGAAATTCTTCTTTATTAAAAGAAGACCATTAAGGATCAATTTCCAGATTCTGTATTGGGTTCTAATGAGCTGTTATCTGTCCTGTGTCACACAGTTTAATTAGAATAGATTTGTAGTGTATTTTTAAATCTGATGGAGTCTTTTTCACTTTTAAAATTCTATTGGCTATTTTTCTGTTTTTATTCATCTATAGAAGTTTGGAGTGTTTGTGTGTGCCATAAAATAGTCAATTGTTATCTTCATTGTTTAAACAAATATTAATAGATGCAAACAGGGATGACTGCATTTCAAGAGAAAATCATAGGCTTTTTTTTTTTAACAGCTGATACAAAGGTAAGCTTTAAAAGTTTTCCCAAAAATGTATTGGTTAACACTCTTTAAAATGTCTTTTAAAGACACTGGTGGGGGAAGGGGTGAATTAGGTGAAGGGGATTAAGAGGTACAAACTTCCAGTTATAAAATAAATAAGTCATGAGAGTGTAATATACAGCATGGGGAATATAGTCAATAATATTGTAATAACTTTGTATGGTGACAGATGGTAACAGACTTAATGGTGATCACTTCATAATGTATAAAAGTACTGAACCACTATGTTGTATATCTGAAACAAATATAATATTATAAGTCAATTATAGTTCAATTTTTTAGAAAATTAAATTTCTGGGTAAGGAAAAATTAAATATTCATATCACTAAGACAAATATTCCTTGCTTAAGTATTCTTTAAAACTTGGCAGTAAAGCAAATGTCTCCTGTGATTTTTCCATCAATGTATATTACATCATTAGAATTGTATTCCAGTAGAGAAATATTTAGGCTCTGGGACATAAAAATAATACTTATGATTTTTTAAGTTGTTTTCAGTATTTCTTTTAAAAGGTGAAAGGTTTGGTAAATACTGCTTAGTCTTATCAAAATAATACAAACATATGATAATGTTTTACATTTAGAAAATTGCTCATGTAGGAGATGGTGGTGCCCTTAGTCTCAGCCAGCCTTGGAAGGAATAAACATGCCATGGATCATGACCTGGCCATTTAAATGCAACCCAGATAGAGAGCAGCTCACTTATTAGCCTTTCTCATTAGTGCCAGATGTTATCTCCTTATATCAAGTAAGCCTTCCCTTCAAAATCTAAACCTATTAACTGCCTGTGATTTAGAGTGGTTCATAAAAGGGTTGAGACAGCCCTGCTTTTTCTGCCCAGGCACCTCTTCATCCAGTGATGATCTCCCACACAGTGATGTATCAGTCAACACTGGGAGGATGCATTCCTATACACAGCTTCCTTTGCTTCTGTATCTCTGTAGAGAGTCACAAAAAGCTGGTAACATTGGTTGCCTCTGGGAGGGAAATCAGATGACTGGGGCAGGCATGGTGGGGGAGACTTCACTATTCACCCTTACGAACCTTTTGAATTTTTGAAACATAAGAATTTATTACCTAGTCAAGAAAAAAAAATTTAAGAGAAAAATATGAAGGATCTATTTCCGAAGTCCTCTTTCTGTAAATGAGGAGTCCATCATGGTGGCTTTTCATGAAGAGTGTGCTGGCAGTAATACTGTGGTACCCCTGCTGTTCCTGTACCTGGAAGACACCTCTGAAAACTCCATCCTGGAGTACATTCTCTGCATGTTTGACCTGAAGAGGGATTGTAGTGATCCACTCTTTCATCTAATTCCCCCAGTTTCTCCAGATGGCTCTTGGAATTGGAATGCATTCTAGGGTCATGTGAGAAACATGAGGATAAGTGGTCCCCATAAGAATTCATCCTTTGGCCTGCAAGGTACCAGGCTTTAACCTCTGTTCTTTAGAACACTTGCTGCCTGTCCAGACACATACTGTTTTTTTCTCCCCCTCAGCAGCTGCCCACCCAGCCTACTGTTCAAAACCCAGAAGACCATTTGAAGGGCACTGTACTATTAAATGGCGCCATTGCATTCTGGAAACAGATCACCACAGCAAAGAAAACCCACTTCCCTTTCCATAGTAAATGGGATTTCTACAATTTAAAATAATTCTCT